TGATGATGGCAGAGTTGTCAGAGAACTAGGGTTGGGCGATATTTTTTTTGTACCAGTATACCGGTATAAGTAAATTAAATGATAAGAAAATGCCTTATACCGGTGAAAACGATCATTTAACACTGAAAACAGCGAGCGGAAGACACGTTTGTGTGCGGCGCACTTTGATGACGCATCTGCGCGGCACGTGTAGCAGAGCGGCGTGCAGGGACAACAACAACAGAGCAGAGAGCAAACATGGCTGAGGGCGGCGGTGAAGACCATGGTGAAGACATGCAGATTGTAGAAGACATTGTGCCAAAACGCGGAGCTACCTCAAACATATGGGAGTCGTTTGGGAACTAGATAAAAAGAAGCAATTGTGTGTAACTATCGACAGTGGATCTAATGTTGTGAAAGCAGCTGCAACAACTGGACTCGAGTGGCTTGCTTCGGACGCTCTCTCTCTCTCTCTCTCTCTCTCTCTCTCTCTCTCTCTCTCTCTCTCTCTCTCTCTCTCTCTCTCTCTCTCTCTCTCTCTCTCTCTCTCTCTCTCTCTCTCTCATAGTGCCATTGGTAAGCTTTATTTACTGTTTACTGTCATTCATTTTACTTCAATGCATGTGTTTGTCTACATTGCAATATAATTACAAATACGTTATAATTACATAATTATAGAAACGCAAAAGGATACAAAAAATATATACAGTATTTGATCATTTTGACTATATTGGGATTAGGAAACATAAGCCAAAGTGATCAAATAATTATTTGATAATGCTACACTTTTTATATTACAAAGGACAAACTTTTATATATTTTACAAATTACAAATGTTCACCTTCATTACATGTTGCCTGCAAATTTCAGTATGTACAAAACAGAATTCTCTACAATTCAGTTTTGTTAATACGTTTTATATACAATAGCTGTATTACACATTTTGCTGCCAATAAATCAGTAAATGCACTTTGAGGCAAGTGTGTTTAAAATTATCAGTGCTAAGTTTTTATAGCTTTTATATGAGGCTTTGTTAAAATTATCATATCGTCATAATGTGATACATACCAACAAAAATCGTGATACATGCTGAGGCCCATATCGCCCAACCCTACAGAGAACTTATGTTTAGTCTGGAAGCAGGGGTAAACTATTTGAGAGATAATCCAGTATTAAATGTGGCCGCACTTGCATTTGAAAGCCAGATCCTGCAGCACCTTTGAAGCTGTGCAGGGCAGGGCTTGGTTAGTACCGTGATGGGAGACGTTCGTGAACACCAAGTGCCACAGAGAGGCGGCTGTGGATTTTAAGTATCATACTGTTGTTGTGTCCTTAGGCTTCACCGACATTGCCTAGAATGAGTCTGGTGTGTGTGTGAATGGTTGGTGGTGGTCGGAGCATGGAGTGAAAGAATAATGACATTTGAGTGTCCTGAAAAGCGCTAAATAAGACAAATGCATTATTATTAAAATTATTGTCAATACTGCCAAAATGAGCCATCTTGACTCTGTCTTAGAATAATTAGAAAAATAGTAACAAAAAATAATACTATGAACAATCCCTCAATTGAAATAACACAGCTCTTGAAATTGTTTAGTTGGAAATAAAATCTCAAAGTGTGCATTATTTCTGTAACTGGCAGTGAACCCTTATACATTTTGTCACATACTGAAAGACTGACTCAATACTTTTTTTTTTACTTTTGATTTCCATATTGAGCTCATGCGACATTCCGTGATGCAGAGAGAGTTTTTCCCCCTCTATAGCTGCTCCACGATCACCCGCCGAGGTCACCCACTCAACCCGGCTCTTCTCACCATCTGCTGGGGCTGGCTGACATTTGGCCCTCCAATCTCTCCTCAGAGGGACCCACACATTTGCATTCTGCTTTTGGATTCCAAGTCGAGAAAGGCCAAACAGACTTGAAATACAGTGGGTTGCAAAAGTACTAATACAGCTTGAACTTTTGCACATTTTTGTCATGTTTCCAGTACAAGCGTTTTTTCGTGGAATCTCATTTGAAAGAGCAACAACAAAGCAACACGCGACTGTGAAGTGAAAAACAGAATGATACGAGCGCTAAAGGTAAAGTCGTTCTCTGAGTGCCTTTGACAATGTCAAATCTTGATTAAATGGAGACCCCTTGTGTGTAATCTACCTTAGTGTAGTTACAGCTGTTTTGTGACGGCCTCATTTTAAAGGAATATCTGTGGAAGCTCCTCTCTTCAGCCTGATGTATTTTATAAAAAAACGTAAAACAACTGAATGTTATTTTTCTTTCACCTCTCAGTTGTCCCTTACTTGAACTCTGAGGAGCACAGGGACTGGCCTCCTGCTGAGACTATGAGGAGCACAGGGACTGGTCTCCTGCTGAGACTATGAGGAGCACAGGGACTGGTCTCCTGCTGAGACTATGAGGAGCACAGGGACTGGTCTCCTGCTGAGACTATGAGGAGCACAGGGACTGGTCTCCTGCTGGGACTCTGAGAAGCACAGGGACTGGTCTCCTGCTGGGACTCTGAGGAGCACAGGGACTGGCCTCCTGCTGGGACTCTGAGGAGCACAGGGACTGGACTCCTGCTGGGACTCTGAGGAGCACAGGGACTGGCCTCCTGCTGGGACTCTGAGGAGCACAGGGACTGGTCTCCTGCTGAGACTATGAGGAGCACAGGGACTGGACTCCTGCTGGGACTCTGAGGAGCACAGGGACTGGTCTCCTGCTGAGACTCTGAGGAGCACAGGGACTGGACTCCTGCTGGTCCCAGAGTCAGAACTAAACAATGGGGAGGCTGCATTTCAGATTCATGCTGCTAAAATCTGGAACAGTCTTCTTAAAAATATGAGACAGGCTTCTTTTCTGACAATGTTCAAATCCAGGTTTAAAACCGTTCTGATTAGCTGTGCTACAACTGAGGGATTTTATCTTTACTCTTTTATTGTGCTGTCGTTTTCTATGATTTTAATGCTTTGTTCAGTACTTTGAGTGGCCTTGTGTATGCATTGTGCTATACAAGTAAACTTGCCTTGCATACGTCGTTGTTGTAATTCAAAAGGAAAAAAACAAAACAAAGTGTGCAAAGGTTCAATTTGTTTATCGTAATTTGGAAAGCCACTGATTGATCTCACACTGGAGAAATGTACATGTCACATTTGGCACAGACAGAATCACTCAGATGCAAAAGACAGAAGTGTGCGACATGTTAAAGGTTAAACATATAGTCTCTGCCGGATATAATTATGTACAATAAATTGTGGCAATTTTAAGAAAGAGTGACAATAGCAGTGCATAAGTTTGTGTAAGCTCTCAGTCGTACAGGGATAAGTCAAAGCAAAGGAAGGTTTCTCACCATCATCTGTACTTCTTAGCAGGTTTTCCCGGCGTTTCGTTCTTTCGATGAAGAACGAAACGTCGGGAAAACCTGCTGAAGTACAGATGATGGTGAGAAACCCTCCAGTGCATGTTTGTATCAGTCCTAGTGCATTAGTGACTTAAAGTGACTTATTGTACAGTCTGACAGCGGTGGGGATGAGGGCCCTGCAGAACCGCTCCTTGCACTGAGGGTGTCTCATTTGTCCACTGAAGAAGCTCCTCAGCTCCTCCACAGTCCTGCGCAGACTGTAGAACAATAAAAGATCATATTATATTATTAAAATAGAACATTTGAAAAACTTCATGACTAAGCAGTGTTTACAAAGTCCAAGATAAAGCAATTTGAGAGTATAATTTGTGCACAATTAAAAGTGTAACACAGAGTACAGCCAGAAAAAGTCAAGCATCCTGATGTTCCGCTTGTGTCCAGTTGGGGGCAGCAGTTGTCTAAGTTGAATGCAAGCTTATAGCAGGATTGGAAAGTCACATTCACAGGTCATTTCATCTCTTTGTTTTGTCCTGGGCTGGGCCTCTGGTGCTGTTTTCTTCTTGTCGCTCACATAAAGGGAGAAAAGACCAGATGTGTTTTGAAGTGGATGAATCCTGACTTCTGGGGAGGTGGAGAACGTGTCTCTTACCTACATTTAGAAGGCAGTGAATTTGAACTGATTTCTGGATCAGATATTTGGGGCCCAGATGGGAATAGGTCCACTGCCTTTTTCCTCCTCCTTCTTTTTCTTGCGTCATTTGACAGTAACCCAGAAGACTAATGTGTACTGGCCTAAGCTTTACTATGGATTGCGTCTTATTTAAGTGGCTGTAAATCTAGGCCACGGACTGTATAGTTTAGCAGCAGCATAGCACAGAAAAGCCTCTGCTCGACTCATATGGACTTGGTGGACTGTATTCCAAGATATAAAGTAGTGTGTGGCAAATGATTGTTGGTGGTGGGAAGAGGGCAATGGCACAGATAATAGCCTCAGGGCAGCTATGGCTACAGTAGTAATTTACCACCTCAGGCTATAGATTGATCCAAAACAATTCTATACACAGTGGCTTGCGAGTGCACTATTTGAGCTTTTCCACATTTTGTCAGGTTTACGACAAAAAATGTAATCTGGAAGCAAAAACATGTTTCTGTTATTTTTAAAATGTTTTTATCTGATCAGTGGAGCTTGCGCGTATTATTGCAGCACTTTCCACAGTATGTTCATGTGGTTGTTGTTAGCAATCACTGATTATATATGTATTTTTTAATCGTGTGATAAATTCATTAGCCTCCCTTTACATTGGAACAAACTGATTCTTCATACAAATGTCCTACAGTACATTGCGCATAGCACAAACCCGCTATTTCACTTTGCACCCTCAGTTTAGCACCTGGATTGATAGATTAACCCCATTATGTTAAAGGTTGAACTGACATTGTTAATATGATGTGTCTTTCATGGCTTTTTCTTGCATTCAGTAATGGCAGAACTCATTAAAGTTGACTAATATTTGGTACTGGCATTTTAAAGCCACCTCTGGACTTGTTGGCACGGTAACAGCAACATGCCCTATGGATAAGAAAATGGCCTTTTGTGTTGAGACATCTGTGATCTCAGAGCTTTGTATCCATACATTGAAACGTGCACAGAGCAGGTCGTGCATGTATGCCCTCACCGTGGCGCCGCTCCCTCACCTCTCTCACACGGGTCATGTTTTCTCTTCACAGCTGGAGTGCTTTGGTGTTATATAATGCAAAACGACAGGTAGCGCGCACAGCTGTCTGTCGACTGACTGAAACAATGTGTCAGATGCTTCCTCCCTGAGTTTTACTGAAACGATTTATACTGGGAGAGATGTACAATTTAGTCTGCACAAGAATTAGACATGTTTCCATATCTTGGTCAAATTAAAGAGAACCAAACCTTTTTATTGAACCTTGCTGTCGAGAAGTGAATAAGTGCCATGGAAATCCCATAACATGTCTATTGTTTGGCACTGAAAGAAAACTATGTCCCTTGAACTAGATGCTATTGCTGTGAATGACTGTCTTAACCCTGATGTCTACTGACTCAGACTTTGTGCCAGACTTAGAAAGTGCATAAAACCAAAGCGCTATATTCCACAGACCTCGGAATGCGGCGCAGTGGAGGTGTGTAACATAGGGTCATTATAAACACACAAACCCTGATCTAAATGCATCCTGCACCAAAGTCAAAGTCAGCGGACACAAGGCGTTGGAGTGCATGCAGATTTGAAATAATTTCCTTTGACAAGTTGCTGGCAGTTATTTACAAAGCATATAGTCATAGTAACATTTGCACACATACTGTATACATACAGTACCTTGCGAAAGTATTCGGCCCCGTTGAACCGTTCAACATTTCGCCACATTTCAGGCTTCAAACATGAAGATATAAAATTTTAATTTTTTGTCATGAATCAACAACAAGTGGGACACAATCGTGAAGTGGAAAGGAAATTTATTGGATCATTTAAACTTTTTTAACCTCTTAACACCCGCCTCATTTTGGCTTGTGCACAAAAGTCGGGCATACCCAAATGTTTTGCTTATTTAAAAACACATCTTACATCTCACATGCTTGTGTGATGCATCATTTTAAAGCTAGAGCCTTCTAGTTTATGTAAAAAAAACACTAAAATAATGTTTGTCATTCCTATTTCCCTCTGCATCCTTTGAAGTTTGGGAAAAAAACCCAATTTTTTTAGCCTCGCCTAACATTTTCAATTTCTAAAGGCCCTAAAAAAGGCATACTTCATTGTAAGTTCACAATATTCAAACCCTGTGTTCATTGTGTTGTTGCCAACACAATGAATGAATTGTGCCAAATTGTGCACATTTGGCACAAATATCTTTACTAACATTTAATCATCATAACAACAATATTTTTTATTATTGGTACTTATAAGTTACTAATCTGTGTGTTATTTTTTTTTTTTAAATGTCTAAGTTATTTTTTTATGAGTGTAAATTCATCGCAGCTTCGAGAGCGTCTTGCTCGAAAGCTTTCCTCATTGGCTACACGGACATGTCAATCAAAAATCCCGGAAATAGAAGCAAACAAGTAGGGAACACTGAGGAGCACAGGGACTGGCTTTTCAGGAGTAGTCTCATTTGAAAGATAAGGAGCTAAGGTACACATGGATACCAGATATTTGGGTGAAAAACAAAGCTAAAAGTCCGTTAAAAGTGAAAGAGCAACATCTGTTCTCTTTTTTTTCGTTTTTTTCGCTAAAGATAAATGCACATTTTTGGATTATTTCTGCAGAATGAATTTTACTTTTGGTAATACAAGTGGATATAATTCTCCTTTGGACTGTTCTAGAGAGAATGATGTATTGCAAGCTGGGAGGAGAGCTGATTTATTTGTACAGCACAAACCCAAAGGTAAAAAACTATTTCGGAATTGATTTATTTTGTGCCCACGTTATGTGTTATATCTTTTGAATGCAGTCTGATGTAGTTTACACTTATATATAAATGTAGATGAGAACATAAGCTTTAAAATGATATACAGCTTTTGGGGTTTGGTGTTCAAAATACATCTGCTAATGCCAGCAGAACATTTAAAAACATAAAAACGGCACGCCGGCGCACCGGTGGGTGTTAAGAGGTTTAACAAATAAAAAACTGAAAAGTGGGGCGTGCAATATTATTCGGCCCCTTTACTTTCAGTGCAGCAAACTCAGTCCAGAAGTTCAGTGAGGATCTTTGAATGATCCAATGTTGTCCTAAATGACTGAATAGAATGCACCTGTGTGTAATCAAGTCTCCGTATAAATCTTTGGCCACAATGCAAAACGATATGTTTGGCGTAAAAGCAACACAGCTCATCGCCCTGAACACACCATCCCCACTGTCAAACATGGTGGTGGCAGCATCATGCTTTGGGCCTGCTTTTCTTCAGCAGGGACAGGGAAGATGGCTAAAATTGATGGGAAGATGGATGGAGCCAAATACAGGACCATTCTGGAAGAAAACCTGTTGGAGTCTGCAAAAGACCTGAGACTGAGACGGAGATTTATCTTCCAACAGGACAATGATCCAAAACATAAAGCCAAATCTACAATGGAATGGTTCACAAATAGACGTATCCAGGTGTTAGAATGGCCAAGTCAAAGTCCAGACCTGAATCCAATCGAGAATCTGTGGAAAGAGCTGAAGACTGCTGTTCACAAACGCTCTCCATCCAACCTCACTGAGCTTGAGCTGTTTTGCAAGGAAGAATGAGAAAGAATTCCAGTCTCTCGATGTGCAAAACTGATAGAGATATACCCCAAGCGACTTGCAGCTGTAATTGCAGCAAAAGGTGGCGCTACAAAGTATCAGCGCAAGGGGGCCGCATAATATTGCACGCCCCACTCTTCAGTTTTTTATTTGTTAAAAAAGTTTCAATTATCCAATAAATGTTGTTCCACTTCACGATTGTGTCCCACTTGTTGTTGATTCTTGACAAAAAAAATAATTTGTATATCTTTATGTTTGAAGCCTGAAATGTGGCGAAATGTTGAAAGGTTCAAAGGTTCAATACTTTCGCAAGGCACTGTATATGTATACATTGTATATCATGTAAAGTGACAGGTATCTGTCCTGTGTGTGTGTATTTTATATATGTACATATATATATATGTACATGTATATTATGTAAAGTGACAGGTGTGTGTTCTGTGTGTGCAGCCGACTCTGTGAACATAAAGATCCTGAACGCTGGGGCGTGGTCGCGCAGCAGTGAGAAGGTGTTTGTGTCGCTGCCCACGGAGTTGGAGGACCTCATCCCGGAGGTGGAGGACTTCTACAAGAAGAACCACAGCGGGAGGAAGCTGCACTGGCATCACCTCATGTCCAACGGCATCGTGAGTCACACACGGACATCGTTTCATTTGTTCATTCATTCATTCGTTCATGTATTTATTTATTTATTCATTCATTCATTCATGTATGTATGTGTTTATTAATGTATTTATTTATTCATTCATTTGTTCATTCATTTATTCATTCATTTGTTCATTCATTTATTCATGTATTTATTCATTTATTCATTCATTTATTTATTTCAGGCACAGATTAATTACAAAGAAAAGTCATTTAGTGCAAAAGGATGAAGAAAGTGAATGTTCAGTGTACTCTGCATGACCCAACTCTGAAAGGGAAGAAGATGACTTATTTAGTCCCAGGTCCTGTGTCCAAACCAGTCCAAAAGGTGCATGAGCACGTGCACTGACATGCTGCAATCTCACTCCCCCCGGTGGGGCTGGACCCGGAAAGAGAATCACCCAATGCTTTTGTATAGCGCCTTCTATCCTCTGGAAAACAGCTTTACAGGATGGTCCAAAAGTTGACTCTTGGCCCAAAGCTCCGTTCCACATGTGTGTCAATTGGACCAGTCTAGTTTCGTCGCTGTGGACTTTAAAAGTCACTCGTTTAAATGAATGAAGCTCGTGCAGCTGACGCATGGGCAGATGCGTTTTTTCACATTTTCCAGCCCCCGCGGCCATTTTGAATCACTCCATGAACGGCGGAGATAGGCGTGACTACGTCCGTTAATATTTACAGACTATGGTGTTACCTGAGGGTTTATGATCATGCACCAAAGAGGGTAGGTGTAAATTTGGGGTAACTATGGACTTCTGCATTATTCATTATTCATCTGTCAGTTTGTCTGTCTTGTAAGCATTGGGATTTGCAATAATCAGGTGTCCATACTTTCGTTCAAATTGTCACCAGAAGTGCAAAAGTGTGTAGTTTCCTTCAGAAGCTTGTACTTTAGTTTTAAAGTGGAACTCTTCATGTCTCACACCCACTTACTTTCACCTGTGTTTGTTGTCCTGTTGTTGACACTTGTGTGCACTTCCTGCTTTCTCTTCTTGTGTAGCTTTTGTTATGTAAGCGCTGGGATTGGAAGTGCCGGAGGTCAGGCAGGTGGCTCAGGTAATAGAAGCAGTGGGAGGTCAAAGGAGAGAAGGGAGAAAGACACTGTGTTTTGTGCCTGAACAAGTCCTATCAAGATGTATCTGTCCACTCATCTATCTCCTAAAACACATTTCCACTGAGCACTGTGGCACCACTGCAGGAAATGCAGGCAGCCTGAAATGCTGGGCAGTGCACGTCAATGCTGATTTCTCTACAGACTGAGGCTATGGTTCGTATAAAAGCAAGTGTAGAGAAGGATATAGATGTGTTCCTGTTAGGACATGGAAAAGCTGACATCCGTTGTCGTCATCTTTCAGTTATTGTTGTCCCAGATGGTTTTAAAGTGCACAGGAATAGAATTAGATGGCGAAGTGATTGAGTTTGAATGAAGATGAGCCAATTCATTTTATTTATAGAGCACATTTCATAAAACAGTTTCCAAAGAGCTGCACAGAAAATGGAAAACCATAGGAAGACTGAAAGTCATAGTGATGCACAGATAAGATGCTAATACATGCTTTAATATCTTGTGTTATGAATATATTTTAGCACTTGAAATTCTTTGTTTTACATTTTGACCATTTTCATTACTTAAATTTAGCATTGCACTGGTGATTGAGAACAGATAGCTAAAATTATATAAAGTAAATAGCAAGATGTATTGGCATTATTACCTCACCAACAGGGAGGGTGCTGCAATCGTCTGTGTGTGTGTGTTTGTGTGTGTGTGTATGTGTGTGTCTGTCTCAAGATTGCACAAACTTCAATGTGCGCCTGATGTATGGTGACCCCTCTCCCATCTGTGTGTGGAGTGAAAGGACAATTGCCCACAACAATTGTGAAGCACTCTGTGGCTCTGGTTTATGAAAGGCGCTATAATCCATCACAGAAAGATGACTTACTTGGATGGGTTGATCTGACATTTGGTATGAAGATGGTTTTGATGGTTGGAAGACCCCAATCAAATTTAGAGAAGATCTGTGTTGTGTAGTGTAACTTTCACACTAAATGAAAGCAAACATTTAAAAAAATCCAACTCACTTCTTCAATCAGCTTTTTGTACCTCTCTGACTACATCACCCTGAGCTGTGTCTTACAAGCTGTACTGACAAACCCGCCTTAAAGCAAGCTCAAGGCAGTCATTTGTATTCTTATCAGCCTTAACCACTCCACAAATGCTATTGATGTTGCGCTTGTGTAACCACAGCTACCCCAGAAAAGGAAAGAAAAATAGGCCTAAGACAAGACACGCACTGAGCACCGTCCAGGGAGAACCTGCTGAATCTGCCTCCCGTGGGACCGCTCTCTCCCAGTGTGGAACTATTAGTGTAATGTAAGAGTGGATCAACATGAGAGGCTGCGCTGTCGCACCCCATACACATGCAAATGCTCTGTGTAAACATGGTTAATTAATGCACACAAATACTGGCCAACACTATTCTGACCCTGTGCGTGCATTTCCCTTCAACAAAGAAGCAGAGCATTACTTTAAGATGTTTATTGGTTTAGTTGATGTCAAGGTGATAACAAGAGCTAATGTATGCTAGTCATACAATGAAGCCAAGGATAATAACATTTACATTTATTTTGAGGTTTCAAGGTTTTTTGATAATTTTTGTTTAACGCTGCTTTATTAGAGGTACTTTAAGATTCTAAGGCAAAGCATGGTAAAGCCGGGCTCACAAGGCTGATTATATTAAGGCAGATTGAGGTATTGTCAGACTGCTCTGGTCCACTTGGAATGATCCAATCTCAAATCTGGGATATTAAATGTTAGACTGTCTAGGCCCAATGTCACTCATTGTGTGATGTGTCTCCCAAGTGAGAGAGTTGATTATGACGGGTCAATCAGAACAAGCGGTGACCTAGCTGCTCCTAAAAGTTCAAGGGACTTTGGTATACTCACCTCCATATGATATTAGTCCATGCTCGCAATTTGTTCACTCCTTTTAACGCCTTTTGAGTTCAAAACAAACAACACATTTTATTTGCATGATTTACCTTGTGACCTGGGAATCCTCATGAGTGAAATCGGTGTGTGTGATGTGTTTGTTTTTGCCGAGTGGCTACACACCACACAATGGATGACCACTGTTATTATTCACTGTCATGTGTTGGAGGCCGAACCCTCATTTCCAATGTTTTTCTCAGACTTAATTTTGTACACATAAATGCAACATTATTGTGTAAAAATATCACTGCACAGAGATTATAGTATTTATACTGTATCTGTGTAAACTGGGGAGTGCTCAGGGGCCTGAGGGAGGGAGTCCCACAGGGCTGTGTTCTTTCTCCCCTGCTCTTCTCCCTGTACACCAACCACTGCACCTCCAGCCACGACTCCATTAAGCTGATCAAGTTCGCGGACGACACCACCCTCATTGGACTCATCTCCAACAACAATGAACCGGCTGGTGTCCTGGTGCAGTGGTAACAACCTGGAGCTGAACGCCCAGAAGACAGTGGAGATGATTGTGGACTTCAGGAAGAGCACTGTCCCCCCCGCCCCCACCCTCCGTGATGGACTCCCCCATCACCTCTGTGGAGTCCTTCCGTTTCCTGGGCACCACCATCACCCAGGACCTCAAGTGGGAGCCGACCATCAGCTCCCTCATCAAGAAGGCCCAGCAGAGGATGTACTTCCTGCGGCAGCTCAGGAAAGCCAAGCTGCAGTTCTACACGGCCATCATCGAGTCCATCCTCATCTCCTCCATCACCTCCTCCATCACCTCCTCCATCACCTCCTCCATCACCGTGTGGTTCGCTGGAGCCACTGTCTGGGACAAGCAGAGACTACAGTGTATTGTGCGCTCTGCGGAGAAGGCCGGACTGGTCGTATCACTGCTGACCCCTCTCACCCCTCACATGAACTGTTCCAACCTCTCCCTTCGGGCAGGAGAATACTGTCCATCATAAGAACAGTTTCTTCTCCTCTGTTGTTGGACTCATGAACACTTCATAAACCATCACTGACCTCTGACCTTATGACCGTCACTTTATGCTCCTGTCACTTTGCTGCACTCTACCGCACTCTTAACGGTCAATTTTGTGCTCCTAATTCACTTAGTAAACTGAACAAAATTATGTAGATTTTGTTTGCACCGAGAGCCAAAGCAATTTCATAGTTTGTGACTTCCTGTTACTCACATGGCATTAAAAGGATTCTGATTCTGATAATCAATTTTTGCAGACTGCAGAATTCACAACCTAATTTGTGGAGTTTGCATGTTCTCCCTTTACTCAATATTCATAGACACTCTAATATCCCCCAACATGAAAAAACCCTTCCTCATCATCGAGCTGACCAACAGATCCTTAGGTTGCTGTTGTGAGGATACTTTAGTGTGCCTTTAAATGAAAGATTGCTTTTATAACACAAATCGACACACGTCTTGTTCCATATCTTGTAAGAAAGATCAGTTGAAGCTATTCCCATTTACCCCCACTGTGAAGCCGGCGCGCAATTACTCTTCTATATATTTGAATGCACCGCTCTGTGTGCAGATAATAACCGCCTCAAGTGCTTTGCTTTCCCTGAGAAAATCAAGTCTCATTAAACATGATATGACCCAGACAGAGGGCGGACCTCCTCGAAGAACCTCTTGCAGATCAACCTCATATCCTTTCGCGGGGAGTCGCTTGGATGTATTTTATGTTTCCATGGCGACACCCTGTATATATTTTTTTTTGCTCCACTACCACAGCACCACAGCACCAGACCAAGCATATAAGACAATAACGAAAGCTCGGGGCATCAGAATAGCATGCATTCTCAGCCTTTTCCCCCCCATTGTGCCACTCGGAGCGGTTACGCAACCCGACGTTGGCCATCGAGAACATTTCAAATGCCCTCACACGACACGCACGCTTTACCCCACTGTCATATTGCCCTAGCTTTGGAGACTGTGGAAGATTGGACTTGCAAGCGAAAGGGATGACACGCAAAATGACAAAACTCCTGTGTATGTCTGTCAGGCTTGGTCTTTATCCGACTGACATTTGCTGGCTCAGGCTCATCCAAGGCTCGGGAGAAGCCAAGGATAAGAGTCATGCACAGATTTGTCTGTTTTGAAGTGCTGTCTATAGTGTAACATTTAGATGAGGGAAATATGCCAAAATATGTATTGAAAACAGCTACTTTTATCGCACTTTTTGGTAGATTTACTCCCTTAGAAGCAATGATTTTGGAAATGATAATAATAAACTGCATTGCTTGTTCTGTTTGAGGACAAATTTCAACCTATTCCATAATCTAAACATTTTCTCTTTTGTTTTCTCTGCACATTATTCTACCGACATGAATCATAACTCTGTGAAGGGACTGCAGAGAGCATTTTTCTCCCATAAAATTTCAGCCAACCTGTTACAAACCTGTCCAATTGTGTTTTAAACTTGCTGTTGATCCTAAAACTAACAACAGCAATGTCTGGGTAAAAGTTAACCGTAACCTACTGTATATGACTTCCTCGGCTGATATCAGGCAGTAAACAGACTTAATACAGGCCTATACTCAATATATCAACTCAATGATGCCGTCACACTAAACCATAATCCATCAACATTTCCAATCTCTGCAACAGTAGATTCCACTGTCTTATCAGTGCATCCCTATATTTGCCCTTTTTAACCACATTTCAAGGGCATAATATTATAAAACCAATTTGCCACAATGTTTGGTTGGGCAAGCAGAGGAACTGGTGTAATGTCCAGTTGATTAATGCATAATAAGCAGCACACACAGGGTCTGTGTGAACCGTCAATGTGAGATTAATTCCAGTTTCAAACAATGTGCTGAAGCTGCTTAGCTTCGCTGCTCCTCTTTATACTGTTTACAAAGCCTATATGAGCTAAAGTGCAACTGCTAATGGCAAAAGATAGTAGCTTGCCAAGGAAGACTGTTTAACTTAGTGCCTATTGAGCAAATCCACAAGTGGATATTTTTTGCTTAATCATTGTAATAATGTTTCCTCAAATACTTTCTTACTTGAGTGCACTTGGCTTTATGTATTCATTTTGTAGAAACCTTGCATTAAAAGGCAGACACTAACATAGTTAGGTTAAAATGCTGACTCAAACTTCACAAAACGAATGAGTCATTTACTTTGCAGACAAAAGCTCAGGGCTGCATTGTGTTTGGTAAATTCTGTATTTTCCAGCAGTGTTTCTTTCTGTCTGCTCTGACCTGCCGTATCAGTGATTAACGCCTGATAGGGCTGAGACATTATTCTGTGACTCAAAGGAACAATGAGAGAACGCCATTTCAAAATGAGTCGAAAGTCTGAGAGAACGGCGAGAGGCAAGCAAGGGGGTGTCGCTGTTCAATTGATTGGCGAGAGGAAAAAGACATCTGCTTGAAAATGACTTAACAGTTGCCTCCAGAACACACGCCTGCTATTGTTTCCAAACAAGAATAACCGCGTCTGCGTCGCCGCTGAAGATGCAGCGGGAAGTGTTGCATAAGGAACATTTACAGCTATATTTCCTTATGTGTGTGTCTGTCTACGTTAGGAAGTTAGCCTTCTCAACTTATGTGTATTCCATGTATTTCTGAAATCTATAGTTATGCTAGCCCTGCAGAACATAGTGTGATCTGGTAGTTAGCTTAGTCCCAGTTCAACAGTGCCACAGGAAATACAAATGTAGTCATCCATTCCAAGTTCCAAGACATTTAGACTATTCAGGCTGTTCTAGGGTCTTCTAGGACTCTAGGCAAATCGATATTAAATATATTGTTCCTTTTATTGTTCTTTTAATACTTATCAAAATGGGGATAGGCTTGGTCTGTGCATTTGTTTATGCATTGGCCCTGTGCTCATGTCATCTACCGTAGTTTGTGAAATGCTTTGTCAGATTCACTTGCAGGAATCACGATTATTGTCAGCTGTGTGGTGTATTCTCGTCCCCCTTTCATTCAGCCGCTCTCGCTCACAGCAGAGGTTGAAGAGGGTGTTTTGTCGTAGATGTTTTGGCCGTATGGGGTGGTGCTGCGCTCGGACACTGTGCTGTTTGCCTCTTCATTGGAGTCTTGTGTAGGCGTGCGGTAATCTATGGAGGTGGGCGAGGAGGACTGGAGAGATGGTGCAGACCTGGAGACCGGACGTCCAAGGGGGCGTGCCTAACTATAATTTCCCCCGGTTAAGGTTACAATAAAAACACATTACCCTGTTACAATTTAATTTAATTAAGGCAATAACAGCCCACTATTTTTGACAACACAATATTTTAAGTTCAAGCCTTTTGTGCTTGTTGTTGTGGAAATAGATGATGCCTGTTTGCAAACTTCTTTACTACACACACGCTATCATGACTCTATCACACAAAAATACACTTTTAACTCTCGCTGTTTACACTGTACTGCAGTAGAACCAACAGGCAGTGATAATATCTAAATGAAACATTCCATTTTGTTAGAATTTAAATCCACATTCTTTCTTCACACCATCTTTCTGTATATTTTATAGATCATTTATGGCCCTTTAGATGCATGCGTTGCAATAACTGTTTTCCAGTCTGTACTGAGTTAATACTTAAGCAGGTAACAAAGGACAGGGGAATATAAGTCTGCAGCTGATCCAATGACAGAAATGGCACACAGGCATCAAAGTCCCAGGTGGAGCCATGACTCAAGTAGTTCTCCCAGAGTGGCTGGGGGCAGTGATTGAGATCACCCAAAGAGCAAAGAAAAGAGGCAGGGTGCACCATGGGAGTTTGTGTCCTGTGTGGCAGTCTCGTGTGCATTCTCCGTGACAGCAAACAGACAGGACGTGCGACCTCGCTAACCTTCTCCGACCTAAATCAAGACTTGAACTTGTTTTTGTTGGGAAGTGTCAGCGTGAGTGCACCTTACTCTGCAGACAGGCCACTCCCCTTTATGCTAACGGAGATTTCTGCTGACGGAAAAGACTGGAATGCTACACGAAGACATTTTCATTTTTCCATTTGACCTTTCTGTCTCTGCAAAGAAGCGTGTTTCAGCAGAATCCCGGCTCCATCGAGTGGTTGATGTAACAGATACCAATTTAAGAAGAAAAATATTGCAAGATGTATGAATTGGAAGCTTTTTGCCCTCATCATTTTTTCTACAATCAGTGCAAAAGTAAAACATTGTATTTGTGTTAAAATCAAGAAATAATTGATTGTTTTATATGTAAAGATTTTCTGCTTTAGACTTAAGTTTGAAGCTATTCATAATATTGTTCATGTTTTCAGGTGTTTATATCTAACATAAATGCAATTGTAAAGGAAAACCATTAAAGTTGCATATACATTTTAATGTTGTTTTATATTTAGTTCCATCCATCCATCCTTTTTTCTTCCCCTTAATCCATTTCTGGGTCGGGGGTGGCAGTCAGAGCACCAGCCCCTCACTGATCCTCCTGCAGGAGCTGAGTCCACAGGAGCTGAGATCTTTCAGTGGGGGCTTCAGGCAAAGTGGGGTTAAGTGTCTTGCCCAAGGACACAACGACAGCAGTCATCAGAGGGAGTCGTGAAGTAGGTCTTGTGGTGAACCCATGACCTTCAGGCTCTAAGGCCAATGCTCTACCAACTGAGCCACTGTTGCCCCTGAGTTCTGTTATTTATTCATTTATACTTTTTATTATTCAAGGTCAAAAACCACTGCAAACAGTACAGGTAAAATGCCTTTTGTAATTAAACTTACAATATAAAACTAATATATGACAGACTCATTACACTCAAAGTGAGATAAAATGCCTTTATTTGTTATAATTGGCTCACAGCTTGTAAAAACCACAAACAAAAACATCTCGGCAAAATAGACGGTTTTGAAAATGGACCATAAGCCAAAACAGGACAATTATAACAAAGAAAGTTTCCTCAAAGGCAACTTCTAATGTTATTGTTAAATAGGTTTCACATAGTTTAACCTGGTTTCCTTTTAGCACCATTGATAATTGTTGGTATGGATGTTCCCCTTCATCTGATGTCCCCGTCCCCCCTCTCCATGGGGGCTGGCTTGCTCCTGGCTGACCCCCCCTGACCAATCCAGTGGAACCTTAGAGTAACCTCACAGCAGTATATAGAGAGCTGGGATGGACTAGTTTGGGCTCTTGGTCGGTGTCAACTCTCTATGCAACATCCATCCATCCATCCATTTTCTTCCGCTTTATCCGTTGCCGGGTCGCGGGGGCAGCAGTCTAAGCAGAGACGCCCAGACTTCCCTATCCACACACACTTCCTCCAGCTCGTCCGGGGGGACCCCAAGGCGTTCCCAGGCCAGCTGAGAGACATAGTCCCTCCAGCGTGTCCTGGGTCTTCACCGGGGAGTTATCCGGAACAGATGCCCGAGCCACCTCAACTGGTTCCTCTCGACGTGGAGTAGCAGCGGCTCTACTCCGAGCTCCTCCCGTGTTACTGAGCTCCTCATCCTATCTCTAAGGGAGCAGCCACTCTGCGGAGGAAGCTCATTTCGACCGCTTGTATCCGCGATCTCGTTCTTTCGGTCATTACCCAAAGCTCATGACCATAGGTGAGGGAGGGAACGAAGATTGACCGGTAAATTGAGAGCTTTGCCTTTCGGCTCAGCTCCCTCTTTACCACAACGGTCCGATACAGCTCTGACTGCAGACGCTGCTCCCTCTTTACCACAACGGTCCCATACAGCGACCGCATCACTGCGCACGCTGCACTGATCCGCCTGTCAATCTCACGCTCCATCCTTCCCTCACTCGTGAACAAGACCCCGAGATACTTGAACTCCTCCACTTGAGGAAGGACCTCTCCACCCACCTGTAGATGCAACATGTAGCAGCCTAATACTGAGGTCCAGAGCCTCCAGGGTTCTCTCTCTCTCTCCAACCATCTCTCTCTTTGGGGTATCATAATTTCTGTTATGTCTGTACAGTATGTATCATGTTACAATTCAGTGTCATTAAATGTCCTCTTTAATATCTATTGGTTTGGGCCTAGTATGTGCAGCAACGATTACATTTTCATGATAACAATAATCATGGATAAAAACTTAATGCCACTGTGGGTACATTATTTCTTGTGACATTGCTGCGTTTATCTGTCCTTTCTTTGTCTCAGTAACGACTCCAATCCAGTTTAGTATACTCTGCTAATCTCCGTGTAGTGTTTGTTATGGCTTCTACAGCTGCTCCTTTGCGTACATGCGTTTAGATCAGCGTTATTGTCACTCCTCCTCCTCTTCTTTTTTTCTTTTTTCTCTCAAGCCCACCCGTCCACCCCACCTCCGAGTGACATTTATTAATTAAATATGGTGTTCTGCCTCGGGATGTGCCTGCCTTCTTCACTATCTCCAGACGCTAATAATTACATTGGCATTTAGCTTCGTGATAAGCCGACCCTATGGCCTTCATGAAATGTTCCCTGTGCAAGGATATACTGAGCAAAATATAGACTGGTGCGACGCTGTTTATTGATCCGCCTGTCTACCTTTGCTTTTATCTGAAGAAGAGAGAAGTACAGCTCATTAGAATGGCTGAATAACATGGTGCACTGCTAAAGGCTAAGCTAAAGTGCTCCCAGAATGCAGGCTGACTTGCATTTATGGAGAAGTCTGTGACAAAGTACAACAAATGTTTTGTTTTTCCACACTGTCTATGCAAATAATATCCCCCCGGGAGCCTTCTGATATTTCGGCTTCATGTTCGCCGCTAAAATGCCAAATTTCACAGCTGCACTTCTGGAAAAATTGATGCATGTTGTGATGTTTTTGTTTATTTTTTTTGGCACGATTCATTCAAATTTGAGAGAAACTTTCTCTACTGGGAATATGCCAAGAGGATGTTGGTGGAGTTTTACCAAAAGTTTTACCAAAATAGTTTTGTAATTGTCAACCTGGGGGCACCTAATCTTCCAGAGAGGCAACTAACATTTAGGAAATGTCACTTGTTTTGGGGGGATCGTTTTAGCCACAAAGGGTAAAGAGTGCAGGTGTGTCGGTAATAGTGTGAGCTGCAGAAGCCGGAAGGATTTTCTTTTTAACCGCTATAAAATCAATTACTTTTCCCTGTTCTAAATTTCCTCCAATTGGTTTTTAAAAGAGATTGGACAGACAAAAAAGCTTATATTAATCCAAATACCTCCAAAAAGAAAGTATTTGGATTGTCTAATATACGCTACTCAATCTCTGCATGCTTTTGTCATTGTTTTTACAGTGTATGGAACTATTTAACATATTAGACATGACTTAAATCAGGTGTCTCCAACCTTTTTCACCCAGAGAGCTACTTTGTCGGGACGATAAGGGCAGAGAGCTAATCCTTTAAGCGGCCCTGGGAAAATAATTGGTGATATATTGGTGTGAACAAAACTGATATTGGGTAAAGTACTTATTTATCATCACATATTTGTTACTAGTGAGAAAGTAAGAGCATCTACAATAATTTATTAATGGAAATGAAGAATAAAATCTTAAATATTAGCTATGTTATTTGATTTTTTCATTTCTTAATCCTTTGGCGAGCTACCTGGAAGGGGGTGGCGAGCTCCTGGTGGCACCTGAGCTATAGGTTGAAGACCCCTGACTTTGGCGGCACGGTGGCTGAGTGGATAGCACTCTCGCCTCTCAGCAAGAAGGTCTGAGTGGAGTTTGCATGTTCTCCCCGTGTCTGCGTAGGTTTCCTCCGGGTACTCCGGTTTCCCCTACCACTAAAAATATGTACAATAGTTCTGGCATGCGCCTCCTGTTCGGCGATCCCGCTCCCATCTCTGTGTGGAGTGAGAGGACAAGTGCCCAAAAAAATAACAATTGTAAACCGCTTTGTGACTCTGCAGAGTCTGTGCCTTTCTGTGAAAGGCGGTATATAAATAAATAAAGCTTACTTACTTAAATTGTCTAATAAAGGCTTCTCTTTTTTTATGTTTTCACTCAAGTCAGTTGGAGGTTGTTATTTACAAGGTCTTTAACTATCAGCAGTGGAAATAACTGTAGCTTCAACGTTTGGGCTCTGGTAAAGACCAGTGAGCGCGACTGCTTTTGTTTTCTCCTACATCCCTGTTATGTATTATATCGAGACTCAAAGACCAAGTATCATTTAGGAAAACTTAAGCAGTGCTATCTTTTACTGAACATCTTCGTATCACACAAGCGCACTGAACAGGTAAGAGTGGACCGTACCATTTATGACAGGTCCACGGGGGTGAATACGCCACAATCTCTGACACAGCATGTGTCTTTTTAAGCGAAAAAGATATTTCAGAAAATAGCAAGAAAGCATATTTCAGATACATGCCCGTTGCAAAACACACGCTGACATGCTGCTTAGCCTGGCGCGCTGCTTGGCCCGGCGCTTCTTGGCCCGGCGCTGCTCGGCCCAGAATAGGACCCATCCATGTTCTTGCTGCTCAGCGTGTGTGTGACTTTCATACATACTTGCGTTAATCGCGAGATAAAGCAATGTAAGCTGTTAAAATGGGTTTGCATTGTTATTAACGCATTTAACCGACTGCATTGTTCTATTTTTGTGGGAATTTAGGCACCCCAGCTTTAATCTCACCACAGGAACTGATTGTCCTACTTCTGAGAAAAGGGCCTTCGCCATTTATAGTTGTATTAATTGTCCCCATTATTTAACACCATACATTGCGAAATCAATCAATTACAACTTTAATATCTCTTTAACTTATTTATTTAGTAATATGCTTTGCCGGCCACGTTACAGAACAAGTTTTGGACCACCTATCTGATTATATCCATCCACTGCAGAGACCACTATCCGCAAAACCTATTGGCCATAAACTTCTTTCTTTGGAGTTAATGTTAGGACAGCAAATGGGAAAGAACCCAACGTCAGTGATAAGCTCAGAAGTGAAGTGCATTAGTGTCAGTGGCGGAGCCAGACTTTTAAACAAAGGGCGGCCAGGGGGTGGCAAGGGTTTTTTTAAGGGGTCCACATTTATACTATTCAGAAATGTTATAAACTGGCTAAACGATACATTTTAATCTTAATCTTATTTTCATTCTTTACATAAAGTGAACTGAGTGCACTTGGAAACAACGAAGCAAAAAAGTGCATTTAAACAGTGGTCTGAACAAAAGTGCTAAATGACATAATTCAAACATTGCATCTTTTAACAAATTTAGGCACCTGTTTTACAGGACATCAGCAAAGCAAAATCCTGCGGTTCTGGTGTAAAGCAGCAAAGATTTTGACAAACTCATCCATATTTAGCCCCTTAGCCCTCCTTGACTCAATCTATCATCTGCCATGGTCGTTCGGAGATGGTTTTTGATTAGTTTTAGGGCAGAGAAACTTCTTTCACAAGCTGCAGTACTGACAGGTATCACAACAGATATCTTTGCAAGCCTGAAAAGCTCATGAACAACTTTTTTATAAGGTTCCAAAAAGACAAGGAATTCCAATAGGGAAGATGGTCTCTCTAGTCCATTTTTTTCTCTCCTCCCAAGAAGCCGCCTAGTTTGATGGACCTCATGCTTAAGGTCCTCTACATCTGAATCAAAGGTTCTGCCAAATGCAAACAGGGGCTCTTCTTTCAAAAATGAAGGACTTTTGGGGTCAAGAGACTGCACTCCATCCATACTCTCACCGTTTTTTTGTGAAAAACGCCTCTCTAACTCTGCCGATAGACAATCCAGCACCTGATAAAACACACTTCTGTTAAGCTGTTCAGTGCTTTGACAGACGTCCCTTTGCCCAACAGTGCTCATGACAAGGGAGTCAGCCAACTTGGTAGTGGTTTTAGATTGTCTTTTGTTTTGTCCCTCTCTGGAAATGTTGCATCTCTGAACATGGGCCTCAATCTCCCTCCATAGGTCACCAAAATAAGTCTCATTTCTGTAACCTTTAAATGTGTCCGCTAGGGCATTCACAAGTTCTACAGCTCTTGACAGATCAAGAGTGCTTGATTGGAGCATGTCAGATAGGATTTTTACATCACCAAACACTTGACAAAAAATAATCAACAGCCCAATAAACTGCATGTCAATCTGAGCCAGAAGACCCCTTGCTTCGACTTTCCTTTCTCCACTACTCTTCTCAGTAGAAATGTCCTGTAGAAGCCTCAAAATGGCAGGCAGCCTATCTTTCAGATTACGACACGCCATGTACCTGCAAGCCCACCTAACATCTGTTAGTCTTTGTAGCTCCCGAGGTTTCTCTTGGGGATACATTTCCTTTTGGACCTCAAGCCACTTCATATGAACAGCAGAGCCAGAAACAAACTTATAAATATTCTGCAAAAGAGCAAAGAAATCTTCAGCTTCTGGAACTGACTTCACCACATCGACAAGAACTACATTCAAGCAGTGTGCATTACAATGCACATACAATGCAAACTCGGCATTACTTTTAATACGGGTAGAAACACCAGAATGTTTCCCACTCATCACTGAGGCACCATCATACCCTTGACCGATTAGGTTGTTCCTATAGTCCAGACCATGCTTCTCCAAACAGCCAACTATCATGTTTGTGAGGCCTTCTGCATCCAAGCTTTGTGCTGACTGGAAATGCAAGAAGCTTTCATGTACAGCACCACTGTAATAATATCGAACAACTAATGAAATCTGTTCTTTGTTTTGTAGGTCTTTTCTTTCATCTGCCAATACACTGAAAACCTCACTATCTTTTACTTCAGCCACAATCTGCTTTTGCACCTATCTGCCAAAACTTCCAAGATCTCATTCTGGATTTGGTGACTAGTGTACTTGGCATTCCCATGTGCCTCAAGTTTTTTTTTAATGTAAGGGTCATGGTTTGCAATTTGATCCAAAATAGCCAAAAACTTGCCTTTATTGACAGAATCGTCATTTTTTCTGTGGCCTCTTTGTGCAATATTTTGTGTTGCAGTTAACAGCAACACCTCAGCTATTGTTTTAATATATTGCTTGTTTTCCTCAATCTTATGTTTTTGAGCTTCATTTAAAGTATCATATATCGATTTTGAAGTATCAATGCCCCTTTCGTGTTCCACCCACGCATACATGGCATTTGAGTGTTGCTCTGATTTTGAGTGTAGTTTAAATCCAGCATCTTTAAAAAGTGCCTTTTTCCAGTTGAAGAAGCCTGACTCTGACGTAAAGGCAGATTCTGTGGAGCCTGGTAGTGAAAAATGACGGCATCCTCATCCTCTGAAACTATAAGCTATATTTTAATACAACACAACAAATTCCTCATCATGAACATTTTCAAAACATACTGCCTCCGAGTCTGACCTTCAGGTGAGGAGTCATCCTGATCTACAGGAGCTTTCTTTACAAAAAAAGAAGAAATGTCTCCTCCTTTTCTTTTCATGTTTAAACTAAAGGGAAGAGGGTGATGATACAATGTGCAATTAATAATTGAGAATACATACGCAAAAAGTACTACAAACTGAACGAGTAATGTGCTGCAGTACGTGTGTCTATACTTCATGTCAAATGTAAACGGCCCTGTGTCGCCCACTTACCTTCTGTTTTCATTACAAGTCGAGCACATGTGAGTCGAACAACCAATGAAAAGCGCTAGCATACTGCGGCTCAAGACCTCTCAACACGGAGTCGGGGTGCGTTCACAGACAGTGGAAACCGTGGGAATTTTTAGTTTTCGGCGGGAAAAGTGCGGAAGATTCTCAAGATATGCACATTATTAAATTGCCGTCTTCCGAGGGGGGGCATTGGGGGTGGCAAGGGTATTTTTAGAGGTGGCAGTGGCCACCCTGGCTACCCCTCTGGCTCCGCCACTGATTAGTGTTCCCTTTTGAGATTAGTCCTTGGCAGATAAGGTGAGCAGCCAGAATATTAACCGGCTTTGCCTTCATTGTTTTCCTGCGGGTGGCCTAATCAGACTGTTACATTACTATTATGTAGCTCATAGCTTCAAGGGGGTATTAATTGACGCTTAAATCACAATTACAGTAAACATATATTTAGGTTGCTAACTGCTCCTGTACACCAGCTCTAATATAACATGCTGTAGACTCTTTCCTCCTATATACTCTGAGGAGGATGGAGAGAAGTTAGCAAAGCTCTTTGTGTAAGATCACTATATTATGATTGACTTGTGAAGGTTCTGTCTTCTGTCTGGGAAAAAAAAAATCAACTAAATTATTATATCACATACAGTTTAACCCTACAGGCGCCAGATTGTTTTCAGAAGTTTGATATGACACAGACAAAAAGTCCTGTAAACGTTATTAGAGATAGAAGACTGCATTATCAGACATTGATCCAATAACAAATATGATGGACAAATGTTGGGAAACGTTTATGGGAAGCCAGGTCACTCTTACTAAACACTAACTTTGTGGCGCCACCTGAACGTGAAAGCCAGATTGCGCCAGACCGCTGATGCTAAGCAGGGCAGAGTCTGGATTGTACTGTGATGGGAGACCTCTGGGAACACTAGGTGCCACAGTGGGGCGGCTTTGGCTGTGAAGTGCTAAATTGACATTGGGTCCCATGGCAAGACACTGGTGTAAGTAAGTAAGTAATGTCAACGGCTTATTAAACGAGCGCGAGGTCTGTACAGAGAAATATCAAACCGCGGCCTTTTTGTACAGACCGAGCCGTGACGAGGTCTGTACAAAAAGACCAAGGTACAGACCAAGCAAGCGAGGTAAATACATTTTTTATTATATGACTATTTTTAATTTATGCAAATATCAATCAAGTCTGACTTGGTTTTCCTAATCGTGTTTTTAGCTTTCTGGTCTGTAACAAAGTTGTCATCTGATATGAGCTGTATTCTGTTCTATTTACATCCAACAGGAATGCTGACCAGGACACAAAAAAGCAGGCTTGCTTTTTATTTTAAGAGTCTAGGATCATAGGTCAGATGGACATATATGGTAAAGGAAAATGCTAGTATTTAACCCACTTAAGTTTTCTATTCTGGGTCTTCTGGTGTCGAGCCTGAATCAGAGAGGAGACCCAGGAAAACAGCGTTATGCCTGAATTGAATTGAATGTATTCTGATTATGCCATTAAACTCCTTTTAATCATAACTCAAAGTTCATTCCTTCTTCATCACTATCCATGTGTGCGGGAAACCCGTCTTCGAGAACAAGGAGACACCACAGTCAATCTCTTTTTGACTGGTAGGAGGTGTGTTTTTGTCGTTATTTGCTGTTATTTCTTCCTCTGGCTCTTCCAACTCGTCCATTCTTTCTTTACCGAGGAAATCAAATCAAATCAAATTTGATACACGCTGCGGACCAATTGTCATGGTAGCGGTCCGAGATGGGAAAATATCAGACCAAATCAACCAATCAGAGCGCGCGTACAATCCAAGTCGTATAATGTTTATCTATATAGCGCGTTTTACAGACCAAGGTCCCCCAAAGCACTTTACAATGTTCAGAGTCAGATATTGTTCCAATCATTCCACACACGGTGATGACGGGAGCAAGACACTGGTGCATCAAAGCCCCCAATCAACACCATCTCTCATGTGTTCACTCTCTCATGTGTTCACTCCCTAATGTGTTTACTCTCATGTGTTCACTCTCTCATGTGTTCACTCTCTCGTGTGTTCAATCTCTCATGTGTTCACTCCCTCATGTGTTTACTCTCATGTGTTCACTCTCTCATGTGTTCACTCTCTCATGTGTTCACTCTCTCGTGTGTTCACTCTCTCATGTGTTCACTCTCATGTGTTCTCTCTCTCTTGTGTTCACTCTCTCGTGTGTTCACTCTCATGTGTTCACTCTCTCATGTGTTCACTCTCTCATGTGTTCAATCTCTCATGTGTTCACTCTCGTGTGTTCACTCTCTCATGTGTTCACTCTCTCATGTGTTCACTCCCTCATGTGTTCACTCTCTCATGTGTTCACTCTCTCATGTGTTCACTCTCATGTGTTCACTCTCTCATGTGTTCACTCTCTCATGTGTTCACTCTCTCATGAGTGTGGTGAGTGCGTGAATTGTTGGTGGGGATCAGAGGGGCCGATGACACTGATTGCCTCGCTTCTGTCATTGCAGTAGTAGTAACGTGTGAAGTGTCTTTGAGCATCCAATAAAAATATAAAACCTCAGACTTGTGCCTATGTCCAACATGTTTTAGCTCGGCAAGATACGTTTATTTGTCTAGCGTAAAAAAGTGTGTATATAAGTAAATTATAGAAATTATAGAAATAAAACTTAAATTATGTAAGTTTTATTCGAGCTTACATAATTACAATGTCTTTTAAACATGTGCATGCGTCGTTATATGCATTTACATTAAACAGAAATAAAAAAAAACGTTATACAAAGCTTTAAAAGGGAGTGACAAGAAGTAAACTTATGTATTCCCACCTCCTCTGATTACAACATAAGATATTTCATATAAACATATATTTATACAACACTGTTAATCAATTACAAGAATGTGGCAACTGAATTCAGAACTGCATAAATATAGCACAAAGTACATTCCATTTGATGAGAAAAATAAAGTAAAACATTAAATAATTCAAAATGTCATAATAAATAGACAGATACTTATTAGGGTCCATTTATAGAATTGCCCTGTTCTTCCATTCTATAAACACAATTTCTCTGTAATTTGTTTAGAATTGATTCACTGTTTGCTTGAGCTGTTGTCCCAGTCCATTCCAAACTCAAACTCCACAAACAGAAACAAACATTTTTCTCCTAGTCCTAAAAACCTTTGAGTTTTCCAAATCCCTTCAGACTGTAACCTCCATCTCTTTCTGCAAAGACTCTTTGAATATTTGCCGGCAACATATTCTTACTTGTTTTGTGCAGGAGTTATGCTGTATAAAATTCAACTAAGTCAAAAAGCTTTAGACTTAAAAAAGTACATTTGTGTGACGTAAAGGTGTGCTTTCTCACTATTTTACAATCTCTCTCGTAGAATCAAATACTGTACAACAATGTCCCCTCGATGGAGTTAAAAAGTGTCACTCCTGCCGAAACGAAGAGCACCAAGATACCTCCTCGATGAAATTCATTTTGGCCTCAAATGGAACTTGTGCACTCTGGAGAGGCCTGGCACGCTTCTCTATCAGCGCCGATGACTGTCTACCAAGGGAAATCTTTTCTCAACTTCCATTATTATTTCGTCTCTACATCCTCATTTTTTGCCGCACAACTTTAAAGAGTCTGAACTTTTTCGAAACCGGACAACACGCTGTGCCGACGCTACTTGCACAGATAACGAGTTCCAATTGAGAGGCTGAGATGGTCTGATTAGGCAAACGCATACTTTCTGCATT